ATGTCGGAGTGGCTTGCTTTTCGGAAGTGCCTTGATGTTCAGGGGGATAGGCACGCAGGGTGGGAGGACATCTTTTCTACGGTCCTCGCTTCGTCAACCATCCTGGCACAGGGCAACAGGACAGAAGACCTTGAGTTGGCCGCAGGATTCATGCAATGCTTCACTGCGCAGTCAATGGCAACTGACGCCCTGACGAACGTGCCGTGGGCAAAGGAGATCCGCCATCTGTCCGAGCTCGAGCATGACTCGCTGTGGGATCTGAGCTTGCCTACTGAGTACGTCCCTGGGACATCAAGGCCGGCGGTAGACGTCGTGCCCACCATCTATGTGGTGACTTCCGATTCAACTTTGGCTCTGATCACTGGAAAGGGTAAGACTTTGAAGAAGTACACCTTGAAGGAGGATCTGGGATTGCGAAAGTCGGACATGGTTCTCGAAATCGGTCATGACATGCTCTGGGGTAAGGATTTGCAACAGCTCTGCAAAGCAAATGTTTCCATGATCAAGGAGCTGATGGCGAAATATTCTTCTCATGGATCAGCCATCAGGGTTATTTCGGTAATCTTTTGGTCTGGGAATGAAATTTGTGGGGAATATGGTGTTGAACCCCTTCCCATTTGGGGGCAGAGGGAACCACAGGGCGACTGGAATGCCATCATGGACAGGGTCAAAGGCAACATCGTGTGGTGGAACAATCAGCTCAAGGAGTTGGGAGTGGATCAGGCCGCCCTAATCGGCGAGCCCGACCCGCTCACTTATGGATTGAGTCTCATCTTCACCACGTTTGTTGATCGACTGAAGGAATGGTTCCACAAGGAGATTGCCAGTGACAACGATCGAATTCGGTGGATTCAGAATGACATGCTTCCACCGAGGCTTGAGCTCAGGGACTACTTTCACGCATTCGAGACCGAGCTCAACCGAAGTGAAATGATCGGATATGTCATGGCAACTCTCCACATGTTGCACATGACGGACATCTTGATTCCTCAGTACAACCTGTCTTTGTACAAGCGCAGGCGCCCTGCAGGAGAAGCTACAATGCGTGATGTCCCACCAAAGATGGAGCACCTCCCAGTCAGGTTTGTGCAGGTTCTCAATGCTCTCCGGGAGAAGACGAACAAATCTGCACCGAGCGTCTCGACCCCAGAAAGCTTCACAGCAGAGGAGTTGAGAGCTCGCCCGACTGATGCTGGTGTCGCCGAAGATGATGATGAAGAAGGCGACCCATGGGATGCTCTGGATCCCGATGAGCATGAGGGCCCATCGGTGGGCAAAGCCAAGGCCAGCCACGCAGCTCCACCTGACCCCAAGGCGAAAGCTCCAGCGACACAGGAGGATTCAACTCAGGCCACCTCAGCTGGTGAGCCCCTGCAAGAAAACGAGATCAAGGGTACCATCATTCCGAAACATGCACTTGGACACCTTGACAAATATCGTATCACTTTGGACGAAAACATAAATGCAGAAGTAGTTGAACATTGTGTCGTTGATGCCCATCCCTACGAATTGATCGTCAAAACCTGTTGGGAGATGGATGGGGCAAAGGAGCTGAGGTACCCAGATCGCATGGACCGACACCAGACCAAGGTCAATGCAGTGACGCGTGGACAGCCGGGTCAGGACACCTCTGGATTTGATGAAAACATGTGGCTTGACCTTGATGACTTCTTTCGAATGTTCAACCAAATGCTGCCAGCCAAGTTGCCCCGAATGACAGTTGAAGAGCTTATTTCATTGCTCTACTGGGACAGCAAGTGCCGTTTTGAGTTCCAGTGCATTGCCGGGTACCAGAAGGCAACCCGTAAAGGGTTAGCCTACTGGCCCATCAGGATCCGTGCAGTGCAGGGGCATACGAAACGTGCCATGGATGCCGCTTCAGCTGAGGACACGTTCAATGCAGTGGAAATCTATGCTCTGTCTGGAGCAGCAGCGATCCAGAAAATGAACGCCAAAGGTAAAAAGATTACCACTCCTCAGATGTGCCCTGGCGTAGTTTATCACAGGACTACAAAAGGCAATTGGAAGGGCATCATTGAGAATGGCTTCATGGCTGGAGGAGGAGAACGAAATTCATCAGGCAGAGCACACTCCTATTTTAGCGATGTTCGTGTCGATGAGAAAGAGTATGTGAGCGGTTTGCGTGCTGAGCGACCCATTGAAATCAGGGTTGCAATGGCAGAAGCTGTCAAAGCTGGAATTGTGTTTTTCAGGACAGCCTCCGACGGCATTCTTACAAGCGACGTCGTCCCGCCACAATACATTATTTCTGTCGATGACACTGCCAAGAAGGTGAATTTGTATCGTCGCCAGCAGGAGGTTCGCACAGTCTGCAGCGAGCAGTGGGGGAGAAGTTGGAGTCCAGCAGCTTGTCGAGACCTTTGAGGCCAAGGCATCAAAACGGACTGGTTCCACGTCTCCGGCCGCCTCAACTGGCGCGCCCACTGCAACGGCATTTTTCCCAGGAAAGGTGAAGCCTCCGCCACCAAATGTGGCCCAACTTGCCGGTATGCCTGGATATGCAAGCAGCAGATTGTTGCCCCCTCCTCCGAAGGGTGAAGCTCCGAAACCTCCTGCAGCAAAGGTTGAGAGCCCAAAGACACCGCCAAAAGCACCTCCAAAACCACCACCGAAGGAAGGGACTTCTGCACCTCATGCACCAGAAGTTCCAAAAGCTGTGACCTCAGAAGTTGATGCAGCAGCAAAGGATGAACCTGCAAAGAAGAAGGCAGCCCTGACAAGCGTGCCCGCAGCTGTGCCTGCGGCATCATCAGCTGCGGCCTTCTTGGAGCCTGTTTCAAAAGTTGCACCGCCGAAGGCAGTACAGAAAGATCCAAAAGCTCCAGTTGCAGAGTCACCCAAAAAGACGCCGGCATCAACATCAAAGTCACTGGTGCCAAAGCAGAAGTCTCGCCCTAAAGGCGATGACCAACCTTCGAAGAAAGAGGTGAAGAAGGAGGACAAGAAGCCGGTGCCGGTCAAGATTGAAGTCACGCAATGTTCAAGATGTTTTGCACAGACTTTCAAGGGACAGATTGAATGCGATGTGTGTGGATTGATGCTCGAAGGGGTGAACAAGGCCGACCGAACCAAGATTGCAGAACGAAGGAAGGCCGCCCTTCACAAGCTGGGCTTGTACTATGATTTTCGTGGTGAGTACCTGCAGAGCATCACACATGATCAGCTTGAATCTTTGGGTTTGTTGGACGACCAGGCAAGAGGAAGCTCTAGTCCGGAAGCCAGTTTGTTGGCAAGGGCAAAGAGTCGATTCGACCGTGCCTTGAGCTTGGGCTATGTGTCTGTGGCTGACAGGTTTGCCCAGGACGCCACATTCGCAGAGAGCGTGCTGAACGAGGGGGAGAACGAGTACGATTGTGAAAGGTACGACCTCCTCAAGTCTGCACATTTGCCAAAGCCAGGTCGTACCAAGGCTCAGGTCAAGATGGGTGTTTCTGAGCAATCCCAGCTGGAGCACAATGCGATGAGGCTGGTTTACTTGGACATGGCAAGCCGTCTTGACGTCCCGAAGTCATTCAGGTACATCGACCAGCCATGGTTCTACATGTACCGGACGGAAATCTACTCCGAGGAAGAGTACATTGACTACCTCGATCGGAATCCTGGACACAACCTTTTGTTGTCTTGCACTGGCGTTGACAACATTGCTGTTCATGATGCTGAACGTCATTTGAGGTGGATTAAGGGACAAAACGAGGAGCTGTACAAGCAGAACGCAGCAGAGAAGAAGAAACAGTCTGACAGGGCTCGCGAACAGAACGAGGCCAAGCGCAAAGCTGAGCAGACTGGTGCGTACGGCCAAGGTCCCTCCAAGAAAGGCACCGCCAAACCGGTTGCCCGAACATCCACCGTAGAGGTAGCTTCATCATCAACGTCTGCAAGTCAGTGGATCAACCGCCCTCAGCAAAGTCAGTCCCACGATGATCGCCGTTACACTGGAGAATGGCAGAAGTGGCATGGACGCTGGTATGAGAAAGTCATCAGGCATGGCCGAGTTGAGTGGGAAGAGGGATAAGTTGTGACACTGCTTGCATTGACGATCGGTTTTTGTATCATAGCCGCCGAGTGTGTTTTCCCTTGGGTTTGCAAAGAGCCAGTTCGGTGAGGCAGGTCTTAAAGACCTCGCCCTGGTAAATGCGGCATCCTCGCCGTAACCGGCTCACCTGAGGGGGGTGTAAAAGCACCTCACATAAAACACACATGTAAGCTAGTATGCACTACAGCATTGCGGCCCGAGTCAAAAGGGAGTTGGGTCGCTGGCTTAACGGTATTTTCCCCCACTGTTGTTTAGGTTTATCAGTCTATTTGGGATAAGTAAATTTCCCCGCTGAAACCTGAAAATACAATATATAGTATAGTATATATATATATGGAGGTTTCGTAAAATCAGGGTACCCCAATAGCTTGATGGTTTACAAGTGAAAATCCCAAACAAAAATGGATGATGACCAGGGGTACCAGCATTTTCAGGAAACCTATATATATATATTAATATATATATAGATACACTATCCCTGGTTGGTGGTTTGGAACATGACTTTTATTTTTCGATATATTGGGAACAATAATCGCAACTGACTGTCATATTTTTCAGAGGGGTATACCACCAATCAGATAAAGGATTGATGTAAATATTACTGTAAAGGATTACCATTAACCATCCATTAACCATCCATGAAGCACTATTACTGTAACCATACATATCTTTCAGAGCCGGGTGGGTATACCACCAACCAGATCATCATTAACCATAATTAACCATCATTAGCCATTCTTAATCATCATCCATCCATTAATCATCATTAACCATAAACATATATCCTCTGGTAAACTAACGTAACTATGGAAAATCACAATTTTTAATGGGAAAATCCACTATTAATGGCCATTTTCAATAGCTACGTTAAATTACCAGAGGGTACATATACTATCCCCATGTTGTATCCCATTCATATCCCCATCTTGTGATGGTGAAAAACCAGGTGGTCACTGGTGACTACGAACCAGGAGATCCCCAGGCGGCGTGGTGTACGCATGGAGATCATTGATGGATATTCATGTGGATATTTCTGAGTATAACATGTATAATACTATGTAATTATATATAGGACATATATATAGGAAATATATATATATATACATAAACATAATATACATATAAAGATTTTTATCATAATATGTTTAATGTATTTGTGTGTGGATGTGTTTGAACATGATGTATACCTCCTTTGGGAGCCATCACATTTTCAGATGAACCCATGTGATTTGTCATGGGTACCCGGTACAGTAATGACTAACAGTGTGCATGACAACTTGGAATGTACTCGTTGTTTGGGTTTGTTGAGTTGGTGATTCTTGATGTTACACCATAATTTGGGGGATCCATAAGGGATATAGCCTCTGGAAATTCAACATAGCTATTGAAAATGGCCCATTTAGTTCGTTGGTTTACCTATTAAAGATGGTGATTGTCCATAGTTTTCTGTATGTTTAACAGAGGGTAAGTCCGTTTATAACTAGCCCAACTGTTTGATTTCTGATGGATATATCGAACTAGTTAGATGGGTCTGTAAACCAAACACAACTGGGGGGTCTTTCTTGGATTTACTATACGCACTCCTTGAGAAAGGAGATCTTCCCTGAATTGGAAGGGAAGAACTGGCATAGTAAGCTTAGATTTTGCACGAACCATACTTCGTTTTATTGAGTTTCACACGCACTATGGACTTGGTGATATGTATATATATAATAATATAAAAAATAATATATATATATAATAATATATTATATTATATTATATTATATTACATTATATTATATTATATTATATTATATTATATTATATTATATATATATATTATATTAAGTTATATATATACATAATGCGGTAAACACACTGCCATAAGTCACCCAAAATTTGACCAGAAATGGTTGGCGAACTTGACCATCAAACAGTGAGATCACCTGGAAGTTGGCTCGATTTTTCACCACACTTGGCATACCATCGGAAGTGATTAATCAACTTACAAGATGGGGCCCCCGTTCGATAGCGTTCAGTTTGTTTATAAGTGACTGAATTCTATGGTTTATGGTAGATATAACGAACTAGATAACTATGGTTAATGGGGTTTATAAACCAACTATATCCCAATTACCCTTTGGTAAACTTACAAAAAACGATGGAAAATCACCATCTTAAATTACGGTAAATCAACGAACTTTCGAACTGGGCCATGGCTGAAAAAAAGCAAACGGTGAGTTTTTCAAAGGGTACCCCCTATAAATGCAGGCTTGCTCCAAGCCAGTATATGGAGCTTTCCATACATGGGGATACCCTAGGGCCAATAGCTTATTTATGTTTATTTCATACAATATAATTGACACTGCTGTGGAACTTAGGGGTACCCCATTTTATGGAAACCCTCATATAAGTAAATGATAGCCGATAGCCACAACGGGGAAATGGGTCGTTTTACATTATTTTCCATCCCCCAAAACACAACTTTGGGCCAAACATCCAATTTTTAACTGGTTGGTGGTTTGGAACATTTGGATTTTTTTCCAAATATTGGGAAAATTCATAATCCCAACTGACGAACTCATATTTTTCAGAGGGGTAGGTATACCACCAACCAGTTAAACATTGGGTGAACTCTCGATGGTGAAGAAAACCCCTGATAGCTGTACGATGATTTTTTTGATATCACTCGGGACAGCTACAAGCAGCTAGGGCCTTAGGGTAAACCAACATAGCTGTGAGAAGTTAACCAATTGTCGACGATTTTGCTGGGGAAGCCATGGTTTTTCTTGTTTTTTTTCCACATCTATGTTAGTTTACACCTGGGTAACCAGAACAAAGATATCGTTATTTACGGGTATCTCAGCTCGGCCATGAAGATCACCATGGAATACCAACCACTACAGTTATGGCCCTGAATAGTTATAAATGTGCTTTTAATGAGATATAACCTTAATTATAGGACTATAGCAGTTATAGTTCCATTTTAAAACTGTTAGTTGGGCCATAACTGTAAGTAGCTCCGGGGTGCCGCGGTATGCGAGAAATCTCGTCAGGCGAATGGTAAGTTTGGCGGACGCACCCGGTACAACAAAGGCGCTGCGATGGGTGAGCCTGGCCCAGCATCGGCGCATCGTGCGAAGGGTTTGGAAGTCTGGATGGGAACGGCTATGGCCCAACTCACAGTTATATCTTCTAACTAACAGATATACCAACTGTGGTGCCCCCACGGTTCTAAGTTGGTCTATTTGTAACCCCCATCAAGTAATCTATTATCTACTACAGTTATGGCCCAACTAACAGTTTTAAATGGGTTTATAACGACATATGCCATAACTGAAGTAACAACAGAAATGGGGATTTAACTGTACCATCCTAAAAGAGGATTAAGCGGTGGAACAAATATGTTCTTAACAGGTACCCAACCAACACTTAACTTAGTTATGACTATATAACTTGGCTAGCTAGGGTTTATGGGGAATTTAACTATAGTATTCATGGAGTTTATAAACCATACGTCTAATTTACGACATTTTTTCTATAGATACAAATCATAGATATCAACAGGAAACCTATTCATAACCATACAGCATCATAGAACCATATTTGTCCAATCAGCTATATATCTATAGTTACCCTCTGGTTATTTAACTATGGAAATTGTCCATGAATAGATGTTTTTTTGATGATTTTTCCCCATTAAAGAATGGTGATTATCCATAGTTACCTTAAATAACCAGAGGATCATAGAATTGGATGATGGGAAAATTTACAGGAAAGCCCTATATTTGATGGTAAAAACCATGGTTTCCTGTAGATTTTCCCTTAAACCAATCCAGTGAGAGGATATATCCATAGAACAGCACCGCTCCACACACTGTGGACACCGCTCGGCAAGAACTTTCTGAGGTGCGATCAGCCTTGCCACCGGGACAATGACCAAGTTCAAGGCGGGTAAAACAAATATGGAAACGTCACAGCCTGGGACGAGCACCACTATAAATGGTGATTTAATGGTGATTAATGGTGTTTTAATGAGACTTAATGGTGATTTAATGGTGATTTAATGGATTTTAATGAGATTGAATGGTGATTAATGGTGTTTTAATGAGATTTAATGGTGATTAATGGTGATTAATGGTGATTTAATGGTGATTAATGGTGATTTACCCTATGGTAAATTAACATAGACCCTGAAAATAGCCTAGTTTTAATGGAAACTAATCTTCCAACCCCGATGAATGCCAGGGTCCATGTTAATTTACCAGAGGGTTACTATGGTCATGGATTGGGATTAGAAAGGATGACTATAATGGATTTATTACATTTTATTACTATACATTATTGGATTAATTATAAATGAATTACAATTGATGTATAATGGATTATAATTGTGATTATAATCCATAATACACTATAAATCTTATCTATCATGAATTATCATGGTTGATGAGATGACTATACATAGTTATCCATATTATTTTAATCTATAGAATTCTATTTTCATGGATTATAACTATGTTTTTTCACCACATTGTTTCTAGATGGAATGATGGAAAGAACGATACTGGAAAATCTCGGAATTTCTGTGGAGGTTTTGTCATAGGAACATCATCTATAAATAGTGGGGAAATCCATAAAACAAATCTCGGTCTATATTTTGATGGGTTATCCCATGAGTAAAATTCTACAACTATGGTTGTGAACCACATTTCGAATGTGGGGCCCCCGGTTTCGAGAACGCTAAGTTGGGGTTCACATAAGTCCAATAACTATGGTTTATTATACTTATTAACTATAGTTAATGGTGTTTATAAATCAACTTATTTATAACTGGGGGGCACCACATTGTACAAAGTCTTGGATTTGCGGTTTGTCGATGATGGACAGATAGAAACATAAGTATCTCATAGTGGTCAGGAGCTTTCGCGCTTCGGAGCGCTATGTATATATATATATATATTCAAAAGTCTGGATGAAGGGTTTTCTACCTTCTCAATGGTATGTGCCTGTCTCAACCCTCCTCCCTGTATCAAAGGTGCTTTCTTTTTCCCCTCCTCAAAGGTCCTGGTTTCCCAGCCGTATTCCTGAAGGATTTCTCAGGGCCAAGTGTTTTCCCAAAGTGAAGGCTCCCGCTCAAGGCTGCAAAAATAAAAATAAATAAAATAAAATCCCGGAGACAAACCCATACCCCGGGGAAGAACACTTGCGACCGAACATTGCAAATATGCATAAAACATGCTATGTGTTTTTCTCAATGGTATGTGCCCGTCTTAATTGTTTATTTTATGTTATTTTATTTTTTTCTCCCCGGAGGTCCCGGAGAGGAACCCTTGGAATTTCTTCCCCCGGAGGTCCCGTAGAGGAACCCTTGAAACCCTTTTGCTCGTTTTTTTCTCTTCGTCGTCTTTCGTCGTCCGTCGTGTTTCAATGGGGATCCTTGAGACAGACACTTGACCTGAGCAAGACCACAAACGAGAAAGTACCTTGGCGCAGACCTTCGATATATATATGATTTTCCCTATCAACTGGGAAAACACGGAGCTATGAATGGAGTTCTTCAACCACGTTGTCAATGGCCATGCAACAGGAACCGATTTATTGGAGGTGCCTACCATAGATAAGGCCTGTATTTTAGGGCTAAATTTTAGGGACTATCCCCACAAAATATGGCCATTATATGGTACAGTACCTCCATTGGAGGGTACAAGATAGATACTTCTTCACTATTTTTGCAGGATTTTACTATTCTATCTTCTTTGGAGTGTAAGCCATGGTGAAGTGTAGGTAACTAAGCAACATTTTGTTACTGGATTATTTTATGGGGATGTTTCATGGAAATGTGTTATGGGGTCATAATTTATGCGAAATCTCGAATGATGTGTTCATGATCTGGGGTTAATCAACCATCAGACATGGGAATGTTAACCATTACGGGGGGATCAACCAGCGATAATGAGGATATTCAAACACTGGAAAGGTATTTGTTGCATTGGAGAGACAAGGGCATATGTGCTACAGTGAAAAGTTGGATTAGATTAAACCATATAATGGCAGTAATGTGGTTAAACCAATGCCATAAACCACCCATTTAGGAATGGTTTCTAATTTATACCACCTATAAAAATGGTGATTTGGGGGATGGTTTATTGTTGTTTTACCCACATTATAGATGGATCTGAGTAGCTTTTTATCTAACATGCACAGCTCTTGGATTAGCTGAATCCATGGTATTTGGAGGGTCTAAGAATATGCCACAGTCATTTAGATTCAAAGTTGATTTCGAATGTGCATCTACCCACTGAATTTGGCTGGTTGATTGAGGACCCGTCCAAAATAATTAATAGCGCTTGGGGTGGTCATTCCACTCTGTGAGATGGGAAATCACACATAACAACATAATGTTAGTACTACTACATCATAGCACCCAGTTGAATGTGTCTCGAAACCATCAACCAACTATGCCACCATGTTTGCTCGGGTCGTGTCAAAAGTTCTGCTCGTTAAAGTTTTTAGTTGGTTAAAGTTAGTATTTCAGTTGATTCAATTGGATTCAATTACGTTATTGTTGCTTAAAAATCACACTTGTTTGGATTTTCTTAGGCTACTTGGATGTGCATTCCAGTGAGTTAAGAAGGTAATAACCATATAATCCCTTCCTCCTGTTACTAACTCTCCCAAATAATAAAAACTAGGGTCCGTCTCCAATTTTGTAAAATTTGAGGTTGGCCAATTTGACTTTTAATTGATCCCCTTTAGAAAACAATTTAAAATGAAGCTACCATTTGTGGGTTTCAACCCCTAAGAATGAATACTAGTCAACCCCGGGGTGTTCTTTATTGGGGTCCGTCTTTTAAGGCCGCAAAAAAAACAAACTTATTTTACAGTAAGGTTTTGATTTAATATTAGGTTAAAGGTTCGAACTCCAATTTTTGACAATATTTTAATCGGATTTCAAAAGGAAATCTAATCGATTTTGAAATAGAAAAATTACTGTAGGTTTTTATATTAGTGTTTTTATTTTAATATTAGGGGAAAGCTTCGAAATACAATTTTTGGCAATATTTTAATTAGATTTTAAAAGGAAATCTAATCGATTTTGAAATAGAAAAAACTAGTTTTTTTTATGTTAAGGTTTCTAATTTAGTATTAGGGGAAAGCTTCGAAATCCAATATTTAATTATATTATATGTATCATTTTATAATATCATTATATAATTACATGACTTCGACTTTGGTTCCCTAATAATAAATACTACCCAACAATAAAAACTACCTGAGGTCTTTATTATTTTTTCCGGGGGGGGGAGGGGGGGTTTAGTATTAGGGGGAACGGATTATACTATATATTTACAATTTTTCTTGGTTAAATCCCATGAAAATTTCAGGCATTTGGATGTGACAGGACCACCAAACCTGTGCTCTTGCCGCCTTGAAAGGCCAGCTTTAAGCGCTCCGATGGCTTTGCTGTCTACGTGCCCAAGTGGGGATCCCCAAGTCACCATGGTTGTGATGAGGTACTGGAATGATCATTTGGATGATGACTGGGGGCCCCCCATTGTAGGACATCCCCATATATTTCCCTACTTTCAAGCTTTCGAGGGGTTTATAACTATAGATGAATTCCACGGTTTATGGGTATTATGGCTATATATAGTTAGATGGATCATAGACTCAAAGACAAATTTATAACTATACCCCCAGGCCCGGGGTGCCGCCGCCGCCCAGAGGTTTTCATTTCACCAACTCTTTAGGGCAGGGTTTGTTTGGGATTTGTTTAGGGTTTATCTAGGGTTTCATTTATATAGGGCTTTTAGTTTTTTTTTTTTTTTACCATGGTTTTAATAAGTTTTGATAAGATTATACTTTCAAGGTTTACTTAGGGTTTCATGTCAGATCTATAGGTTTTAGGGTTTAGGATCTAGGGTTTAAAGTTTTGTGTTTTGGGAACCAGTCTCGTCAGCCGACATCCCAAAATGCATGAAACACTGGCCGTCATATCCTCCAGTGATCAAACATCGCAAGCTGGGAAATCCGCGAGCAATCCAAATTCAGCTGGCCATAAATTTTTTTGTGCAAATAATTGCAAATATTCGATCAACAAACATTGTATTTGTCTAAAATCAACAGAAGAACATATCCCATAGGATCCATGTATGCTATATATGGTAACATGGATCCCATCAATATACCCCAGTCATGTGAGCATTTTTCTACCAGCACCATGGATCCGTCATGGGTATACTCTGAAATTTTGCTGACTTTCAACATGTTCCCTGTCAAATTGCATTTTTTGGTGGATAGAGGCCCTATTTTCAGACAAACCCAATATGTGGATTGTCATCGGCAAATACGTGGATTTCATTATCATATTTAGTCAACAATGGGAATTTAAGAATTTAAGAACAAACATGTTGTGATGATATAGCCTACAGAACTGGGGACTCAAACAACAGAACTGCGGACATCATTGAACAGCAACAGAAATGTAGTTTCAAGCCGCAAACAATGGGATGAGAACCAAACAAAACAGAAGTTTCATACCTCTGCAATTCATGGCCAAGGGTTTGAAAACTAGGAAATGGTAGTTCACTTGTGGTTGTTGGCCCACTTGGTGCATCCCACCTAGTAAGTAGGTGATAACATGTTGTAATCCTAGTTATTTCAGTGGATTAACCTTACTTATCCCACGAACCAAACCAGGGTTTTTTAGCCCACTGAGTAAATGGGATGAGCCACATTCAGCACAAAAAGTGCAGATTAAAATTCCTTTACAGAGAAATTCGACACCGATGATCTTGACCATTCTTAACCTTACGCGTTTGTGAGAACTTTTTGTGACTGCTCAGATGACACAGACATGTCCTCTTTGTTCGAATCTGACGATCGTTCAAAGTCAATAAATTGTGTGCAGTTGCGAGGCCAAAACATGCCAAAACCAGTTCTGAAGTACAAAATGCCAGATGTAGAGAGGTATCAGATACCAGGCATCTCAATTTGCAGTTTGTCACCTTGTCACCGTTCGGAACAGTCCGACTGTTCCATCCCAAAATTGGCTAACTATGATCCCCCACGACGACTGTTTTGAACAATCGGTACTTGAAACCAGCAATCACTCCGTAGCACCAAGAAACCACCACGTGATTTTGTACCTCTGATCGATCCATCGAGTCAGGATATCCTTACCATGGCTGGAAAAATGTTCATTGAAAAAAATGATTTGCCCATTCAAAGCCCCATCTATAGAATATAGGAGCTGCTTGGTGCTTTCAAACGTGAATTTTATATGTTCCATAAAAAAAGGGGATAATCATGGATAATCCCAACCCCATTGACGAATTCATATTTTTCAGCACCACCAACCAGGGAGATGTTCCCAGTTTTTCATCACGGAAGTGTATCCATGGAATCCCATCAGCAGCTACCACTCCGTCCCACGCTACCACCGGCGACGAGCAGCGGAAACGTACGCGAGGCTGAACTTTACATTTTGGGACATTGACATGCCACATGACAACTTGAGAGTGCGAGCCTCGTGGTTGTTTTGGGCTACTATATGCTACTCACCATGGTTTTCTATGATTTTGTCCGCATGAACTGGTGATTGTGGGTTCAGTGTGGTTCAGTATTTATTGGCCAATGGTCTCATTTTGCGATTTGGATGGTTTGCCTATCATTTTCAAATGGACGGAAACGGGCAGATATATGGATTTTGCAGTTGAACATGGAAGTTTTTGTTGGGGTACTGTACCCAGTGGTGACTCCCCCCCAGAACAGTGGCTAAAGCCATGAATTACGCCCCTAACCATATGGCTTGATGAGGCGACCTCCAAACATAAGACCTTCTTGGAGAGTATGATCCAAATGGGGGTGAACAAACATAAGACCTTCTTGGAGAGTATGACCCAAATGAAAACACACCTCCAATTTTTTTTCCGCTATCCCTGCCCAAGGAGCGTGTGGTGGTGGTTGGTTACAAGAAATTCTACACGCTGGACCAAAACGGTCAAGAAACCCAAGGCCTGCTGGGCGACCCTCCCGAAATTCGCCCACATGTCGCGGCACGATGCAAAGTTGGGCGAATTCTCTTGGGTTTGGGGATATATGATATACAATGATATACGATATATCAGTATAAAGATGTATAAAGTATACTACTCTGGTTGGTGGTTTGGAACATTTATTGTTCCCATTCAGTTGGGAATCATAATCCCAACTGACTGTCATATTTTTCAGAGGGGTAGGTCAACCACCAACCAGATATGATTCATGGTCATCCCGTTGTCCGTCATCCATTGCGGGTGTACCCCCAGAGGGTAAAAATCATATCTGAAAAAATATGGCATATTCCATCTAGGATCTTTTAGTGTTATCCCTGGTTGTATCTAGAAAATTACATATCATTATCTTGAATTCCATCCCATATAGCAGCTTTCTAGTCTATGTCTCCAAGGTCGGTGGATCATCCCACTAATCCTAGGTGGGTTAGTTCACCCTGGTTTTCTTAGTGGTCACTGCTTAGTGGGTTAGTTCATCCTAGGTGGGTTAGTTCACCTTAGGTGGGTTATATCCTTGGTTATAAGATGTTATAAGTGGCAAGTAAGGTCAATCTGCTAACTAGGGTTTTATCTAAGCTACGTTAGGATTCGTGGCTAGTTCGCCACCAAGTAACAATTCTTAACCATCATTATCCATTGTTCACCATCATTAACCACCATGAACCATAGATGATTAACCATATTAACCATCTGTAACCATATCAACCATCATTAACCATCGTTCACCATTAATCTGGGTACATTATACCGACCTCACTGTTCTCCCTCACTGGAACTATGGTTAATAAGGGAAATTATCTCCAAATGGCCGCAAGATTCAGGTTTAATTTACCCAGATTAATGGAATTAGGATCAATTCATCGATAATGATCCATCAGTACCCATATCAACACTCATTAACCATCATTAACCATCATCATTAACCATCATTACCCATTTTTAATCATCATTCATCTATTAACCATAATTAACCATCCATTAACCACTATTCACCGCTATTTGCCATAGATGTCACTCATAATCATCATCCATCCACTAACCATCATTTACCATCCATTAACCACTATTTGCCATAGATTTAACTACTATTAACCACTATTAACCATCATTCACCATCATAATTAACCATGGCCTTAATTCAGGTGAGTGACACATTATATGAATCAACCATCATTAACTATCCATCATTAACTATCCATTGACTATATTAATCACTATTAACCACTACTATTACCCAGGTTAGTGAAATATTATAATTTACCCAGATTAATCCATGATTAACCATGAATGATGAGCCACAGATGAAAAAATCATGTTGCCGTTGGATAGCGCCCTGGGCTTTGCTCCGTAGGCAACTCGGTGGCCTATATGCAGAAGCCGGGCGGCGGAGAGTTTCCTGGCACCGCCTGGCGGAGAGTTTCATCAAGGTCACGCTCGAAACGAGGTTTTATGATAGCCAGATGAGTCATGAACAAAATATCCTGGTGAATTGATTGCTAAACTAACATATGCAAAAATATGGTAAACGTTTACATACGAACTGGAAAATCACAAGTTGTTATGGGTAAATCAGCTATTTCCATGGCCATGTTCAACAGCTATGTTAAATTACCAGAGGGTGTGGTTTATGATACCCAGATGAGCCATGAACAAACTACCCTGGTTAATTGATTGCTATAGGGGATCATACTACCTGCCTTACTGAGGATTATGATAACCCATAGGAATGGGAAACCGTTTTCAACCAACTAGTATAAGGAGATGGGACAGGGGTATTTTTTATGGCTCAAATAACTATAATACTTAATTTATGGGGTTTATAAAGAGACTTATAACTGGGGGGGGCACATTGTAGTTATTACTAAGTAGGTTAGTTCACCCCAGTTATTTCAGTCGATTAAGCCTACTTATCCCACTAACAAAACCAGGGATATAACATGATATACACTTAGGATTCCTTGGATGATCCACCAAGTAGTTTTTTTGGGCTCCTCTTTTCTGTTCTGTGCTGTTCCCTTCTGCAAAATGCACCATGCGGTTTCTCACAAGCCTACAGCTGGGAATCATCCCATTGTATAGCCGAACTTGTTGGGGAATTGCTTTAATTTACCCAGCTTGATGGATGAAAAAGATGGGATTCAGCTTCTATTTGATCTGAGATCGCAAGAAACTAATATCATACGATCAGCTACAAAACAACATCAAGATTTACTTTGTTGTGAAAATATGGTGAGTCAAATCGTATCATCAACACAGCCATGCACCTTGGAAACGTGTCCAACACTGAGGCCAAACCCCCAAACACATCAGCGACTTGTGTGTGCCTGGAAAAGGTAGAAACGGATACCCTCTGGTATTTTAACATACTAGTAGCTATGGAAAATTATCATTTTTCACGAGTCAATCATTTGTAAATGGCACAACTGTCCATAGCTGCTATGTTAAATTGCCGTAGAAAACACCATTGAACTTTTGGATACAGATGATTTTAGGAGAATCCCAGTGATGTTCACCAAACGTGCCACCATCACGATCTTTACCACATGGTATTTGATGAGCATATATATATACATTATAAATATATATATAAGTTATAATTATATATATATGTATATATTTATAAGGTATTATAATATATATATATATATATCATACATATATCTATATCTATCAATCTCTCATGTTCCCACTTAATTTCAAAGGAAGGGCAGCCCGTCCCAAGGTTCTCGGCCGGTCGGCTTCAAGTGCGCGGGCGCTCAGTCCGCTGAATCGCCCGTGGTTTTTCGTAGGAAAAATGGTGTTTTCGCCAACAACAAATAGGACACATGGTGTGTTCACCAACAAAAAAATAAGGATTTCATGGGATGAAAAAATCTAGGTCAATCTTAGATGGGTAGAAACTAATCCTAACTGTGGTCTTTTGGTAGCAATGGGAATATCTACGTTCACCAGCAAATAATTTGTCATTTTTTGCAGGGTATCTAAGATTGGCAATGATATGGAGTTAATCATATGTAGTTGATTTATGTTGGCTAAGTTGACTTATTTCACTTGGCAAGCTGTTGGGTTGATGGGGGAAATTATAGACCAACTTGTAACTGGGGGACCATTTTGTGTAGCTAAGTTGGTACATACCTAAACGAACTATGGGGGATATAACTCGGATATAACATGATTTTAGTATGCATGGAGTCTATCAACTAACCGAGATCCACCTTGTGAGGAATCCACTATATTTTTATGGGGCTATAGTAACTATATGAGCAAGGGTCAAAAGACGCTATGAAAGGCTTCAATTACGATCCGCCATCACTACTCAAAATATGTGATTTACTGTGTGTAGCGATAGGGGGCCTTATGTAGCGATACCTCTTTTTAGACTTTGTTTATGATTGAAGCTTCCTGTTGGGCGCATGACTTTCCAATCTTTTGATGTCAGAGTGCGACACTGGAGCAGTCGCAGTGGGCTGGTCTTCCTGGGTAGTTGCAAGATGGCCTGTCGTCAAGTATATATGAGATAGTTACATTAAACAATATTGATATATTGGGGTATGTTGATCTATAAGGTATGCAAGAAACTAATTCATAACGCATCATGAGCTTGATGATGGTGATGATGCTGATGATGATGGTGATGGTGATGATGTTGATTCAGATAGTGACCGTGCTGAGATATGTTGAAAAAGCATCCTTGTGCGGTCACGGACGCTTCTCCAAAGCCACTGTCCAGGAGTAGAATTGCAACATGGAGCTTGTCAGAATTTCGTGTCACTTGAAACATACACCTGAGATCACACATTTTCTGGTCCCCGTAGCGATGCCCGAAGCGATACCCCTCGATACCCAGAGCGATACCTGAAATCCATGAAATTAGGGAGTACCCCACATGGTCACTTGAAACTATACAACTTGTGCTATAGGTGGAAAAATATGGGAAGTATGAACAAGGGTACCCTCAAGTTCTTACTGGGTTAGTTCTTAAAGGGTTCATTTGGCCAGGGTTTTGCCGATTCATTTTGGCGTGGTATTAGGTTGCAAAGGAGGCGGGGTGAAGAAAAAAAGGCGCCGGAAACAAGGCAGCACAGGCAAGACAAGCCAAGACAAGCCAACACAAGCCAAGGGCAGCCTCCGAGGTCAGATGGCCTGCAGTGAGTCCGGCTGGTGTCTAGCTGAAGCTGTCGACGTCAGCCTTGGTGATCAAGTAAAAGTTTGAATTTCCCTGGAGATACCATCGCAAGGGGAATAAGAATCCGATTCCTCATCTGGATCCTCCTCTTCTAGCAGCAATTCTGCCTAGTTGGTGAAAAGGGTGCTGGGACTGTGTGTAGCGATAGGGGGCCTTATGAAGCGATGCCATGACCTCACCACATGAATTGAGTTTTGACCGTCGCACATATGATATTTAATGAGAATATCATAATATGAGTAGATATAATATATTGAATGATAAATATTGATAAATGAATAATATAATAGATACATAAATAAAATATACATAAACAATATTTTAACATCCATATAATATATGGCCCTGTCTCAAAATGGGGGACTTTAATTCCCAACTGTGGCCATTTCATTAGGACAATTTCAACGAGACAACATCCATAATAGGATCACTGGAAGTCGTTGGTTCCACCAGCGGTTGTGCTCGGGGTGTGGGGCTTAACCTTGAGTATAACATGGTATAACTGGCGGTGCCAGCTCTATGGTCTACTTTCATGTGATTTTTGAGGTATGTTGAAAAATATTCCATCCAGGCTTCGTTAAATGACCCTTTTCAGGTGGTTAAGTGACCCTTAAACTGGGCTATTTTCTGACCTCGAAAAACGATGCGTTTTTTTTTAAAATCCTTTTTAAAGGTCACGAATTGAAGAACCAGGTACATAACCACTATTATATAACCACTATCATATAACCACTATTATTAATCACTATTAACCATAACCAGGATGGAGCAGATGGGTTTGAATACTCATAATTATTACTCACCACGTCACCACCTTTACTGGGGCGAAGCAGGTTATGCCAACGTCCGGGTGAGACCTCAATCCTCCAGAAACCCGACGTACGGGGGATTTTGCTCCAAAAAGGACATCATGTGGCATAATTCTTCCATCACTTCGCCTCATGTACCATCGTTTCCCATCATTTACAAGCATTTTAGCATCATTTCCCATCATTTCCAGCAGATTTCGCATCATCTTCCAGCCATTTACAACAAAATTCCCATCATTTTCCCATAATTTTCCGATCATCTTCCCATTTTCCCATCATTTTCCCATCATTTCTCCAAGAACATTTGCAAGTCCCACACGCCCAGGCCCGAACCCATGGATCCAGAGAGTCCCACCAGAGACCAACGAGACGCGGCCGGAGTCCCGGAGTCGGCAGAATGTCGGCCGAGTCGGGTAAAGCGTATATGGAGGTTTCCTAGAAGGCCATATTTATACCCTCTAAAAATGGTGATTTTCCATAGTTATGTTAGTTTACCAGCCAGCTAGGTAAGTTAGGGTCAATCATGGGATGATAATGATGACAATGGGACAATACCGGAGAATAATTGAATACTGGTATCACTGGAATCCATGGTTTTTATAGGGGAATCATCCCCTGTTATGGCCGCATGATTCAGGTTATCAGGTTAGTGAATTACTATAATTTACCCATTTGAACGGTTTACAACATGGTTCATATTTGCAGTAGATCTTGGCATTAGATGATACTGGTAGATATATGCAGCTGGTCGGATGGGGTTTCCCGAAGTTAGAAGTGGCAGTGGGAGGGACCACATTGTATACCTTGGTTGAATAATTGGTTGGTGAAAATCAGTGTCACGTATGATGAATGCTAGGTGTTTAGTGGCTTTTACCATCTGGTTATGACTAACATAGCCATGGAAAGATCCACCCATTTTTAATAGGTATACGGTAAACCATCTATTTCTATGGGCCATCTATACCATGGCTATGTTAAATAACCAGAGGGTATATGACATATGATATATGATTGTATATGTATATAGAAAATGAATAAAACATGGATATGTATAGGATACAGTATATATATATATAGTTATACAAGGTGGTGCCCCAGTTCGGAATCGCTAAGTTGGTGAACATAACTCCAATGTCACTATGGTTTATTATACATATAACGAACTAGTATTCATGGGGTTTATAAACCAACGTTCACATCACTGGGGGGCACCACATCGTAGAATAGGGGTAGCCCCAAATCGCTACGGCCCCAAATCAGCCATTATTAACCCATCTTAACCCTATCATCCATTACAAAATCATCATTTTTTTAAAGAGGATTTTCCCAGAAACATTCCAGCGATAAAGGGGTACCTCCATTTTAGGAAATCCCCATATAGATTGAGATAGGGTTGGTAATAATATGGCTATATAATATATTCGATGGTTGGTAATAATGGCTATATCATATGTATGATAATGTATATATATATATATACATATATATAGATAGATAGATAGATAGATAGATAGATAAATATATATATATATATGTATAAACATATATATATATACATACAGATAGATATAGATAGATATAGATAGATATAGATAGATAGATGGATGGATGGATGGATGGATGGATGTATAAAAATACAAGTGTATTATAACAGCTACAATTCATAGTGTTCATGGCCAACAATGCTCACCACAATGTGTGCTGTATCCGTAGGCCTTGAGCCTCAGACAATTTGCCAGAGGAAAACAATACAGCGGTCGTGCACAATAGAAGGACAATTGGACAAGAGGACAAACGTGAGACAACGGTGAAACAATACAACTCCACAAGCACAGTGAAGGTGAAACTTTACATGGTAGCGGAGCAAGGATCCTGGCAACGACAATCCAGGTGAGCTCCAATACCACAACACTCAACAAACACACACACACAACAGCAAAAGAAGGAGACAAGCCTTGACCCCACAAGAGGTAGCTTGTGACAACGACTACGGCAACAATGGCAGTAGCAGCACCGGCAGGAGGAGCATTACCTCCAGTGCCAGAAGACAATCTGGCCAACATGAACAGATACAAACTCAAGCCCCCCTTCTACAATGGAGACTACAGCACGTTTGAAGAATGGAAGTACAAGTTCACAGCATATATGGGCCTACAAGACAATGACTACACAGCACTACTACAAGCAGCAGAGGCTGCCAATGCAGAGCTGACCGAAGCACAGCTACGAGGAGCAGCAACAACAATTGAGGATGGTGAACGACATGTTCGCCTCAGCACCGACTTGAGGTACATCCTCATCAACACAACAACTGGGGCAGCAGCAACAGTATGCCGACAATACCAGCACACAATTGGCTTTGAAATGTACAGACAACTCTGCATACGATTCTCAATACCACTCGGCACAAGATCAATTGGACACTTTACACGACTACTCAAACCAAAATTCGACAACAACAATTTCGAGGAGTCATTCTCAACATCGGAATTTGAGCTCCACAACCCCTACAACAATCCAATTGGATACGGCAATCCTTTTGGAGGAAAAGGCAACAAAGGATACAAAGGATACAACAAAGGAAAAGGAAAAGGAAAGAACAAAGGAAAACAAGTGACGGATACCTGCTACAGGTGTGGCACTATGCCAAAGACTGCAGAGTAGCAATCCACAACATTGGACAAGGAGAACACAATGACAATGAAGACACAACAGCCACAACAGCACAATGGTACACCGACTACTATGACAATGGCTGGTACCACATAGATTATACACAGCAGCAGCCGCAGCAGCAATACTATACACAGCAGCAGCCTCAGCAACAATTGGCATTACCACCAATTCCACCAACGGCAGGCAACAACGGCAGTATGCCAATCCATGTCATTGCAATGATTAGCAATGGCAACAGCAAAAGCAACAACCAAATGACAACAACTGACACAACAAACATCATGATGGATAGTGGAGCAGCTACACACGTATGCCCACTATGGTTTGCAGACAATTACCCAATACACAGGTTCGACGAAGCACAGCTTCCAAACCTGAGGACGGTCACCAACAAGACCATACAATGCTATGGCGTGAGATCGGTCTACATGCGATCAAGGGGACAACCAATTGTCATACCATTCTATGCGTGTGACATACATGACCCAATCCTGTCAGTGACAAGACTGGCAGAACAAGGCTTTGACATTAGGTTCAACGATGCACCAACAATGAGCCACAACAAGGGATTCAACGTTCCCTTGGTACAACAACACAACCTCTACTACTTACCAGCAACAATCGTGAACCTGGAACAACATCAGCAACTACAGGTTCGACAAACACAAGAGGGCATGATTGCCATGATTGCCCCAACAACATTGACACAAGCAGGGCCACAACAAGTCCTTGGAGGAAACAACGACTACTGGAACTACAACAACGAAGGGTACCTCGTGAGGTACCACAGGAACAAAAGAAAGGCACTCTTTGTTCCTGGCAACAACTGTCCAGTATCTCTCGACAGACTGGACAATTACAGACGAACAATCATTCGACGATCAAATGGAAACAATGAAGACCTCGTGGAACACTACCATGACTTGGACCAGAACCAGCAGAAACGAGTGTTACAAGACGATGCTTGGACAGGAGAAACATGGTTCAAGGTGATCAGACAATCTGCAGCCACACGACCACCTGCAGCAAAACTGAGGACTCAGGCTCCTCAACAACAGCAGCCACAGCAGAGCACACAAGCAGCGCACCAGCCAATGGCGCCACAATTACCAGCACAAGCAGAAACACAACAGCAGACAACCAACCGAGAACCACTCTTTCGACACACAACCAAGAAGCCACCACCGACAACGACGGCAATACCAGGACCACAAACAATGACACCAAACTCTGACTACTGGATCAGAGAAGGACACTTGTGGAAGCGTGTCCACACACAACCACGCACAACACTCTACGTACCAGAACAATCAGATGATGGGCCTGACATTGAACAATTGACCTCAGAAAGAACAACAATGGTGTCACCATCAGAACAAGGAAGAGGATGGAGGATTGATGACAATTGGAAGGAATCAGGAGCACGGCCACTCGACAGACAATGGAGAGGCTCAACAAACTTTGAAGAAAAGGTCGACTACAAGTACGAGTACGACACTGACAATGAAGATGACACTCAACAAGCACAACGCGCCAAAGGGATGAAGGCGCCACAACAACCCACAAGACAAGAGAGGTTTGAGCACAACCTGACGCACTTACCCTACAGAACATGGTGCCCAATTTGCGTGAAGAGCAAAGGCAGAACAGACAATCACCCAAAGCAAACAAGCAAACAACCGGTGATACAAGTGGACTTCACATACATGAAAGCCTTTGGAGACAAACAAGTACTACCAGTACTAACAGCAATAGATGTCGAATCAGGTATGGCAATGGCAGTTCTTGTACAAGACAAGAACCAACAACAACAATACCTGGTACGATGTCTACAAACATTCATGTTGGAATGTGGACGAGCACAAGCAACACTTTCACCAACAACACTACAAACAGACCAAGAGGAGTTCATCCTGAACCGCTTGAAGACAGTGGCACAAAACCTTGGAGCCAACATCAATGTAAGACAATCACCAGCATACTCATCACAATCACAAGGCAGTATCGAACGATACCACCGCACACTGATGGGACAAGTACGAGCTTTACTACAACAAGTCACCATCAGCTACAACCTTACACTGAGCGTACAGCACCCAATCCTACCATGGATTGTGAGACACGCAGCATGGCTACTGAACAGGTACGCCATTCACAATGATGGGCAAACAAGTTACCAAAGGAGATGGCAAAAGGATCACAAGGCACCACTGTGTGAGATGGCCGAAACAATACAATACATGATTCCAACAACAAGAACACAACCAAAGATGGAACCAAGATTCTTCAAAGGAATCTGGCTTGGGAGAGACACAATGACAGGCGAATCAATAATTGGAATCCTGGGCAAGATCATCAGAGTGAGGACAATCCGAAGACAAATCATGCCTGACAAATACGATAAACAACTCCTGGATACAATCAATGTGTATCCTTGGAACACACCAACACCACCAATGACAATACAGCCACAACTACTTCTACCAGCCAATCCACAAGCCAGCAGCTACGCCATTGGAACACAAACCACCATTCCAATGGATGAAATGAGCACACAGACTCAACAAGCAGGAGCACAACTAGCACTACCAACAGGAGCTACACAGCATCCAGCGATGGATACAACAATGGCAACATCACCGTTGGCAACATCACCGACGACGATCACACGACCAGCATTGCCCATGCCGGCATCCGG